TGGGCAGTGCGTGGTGAGACCGCAGGAGTCACTGGGGCCTGCTCCGGGCGTCCGTGGCATGGCCTGGCATGCCTGTGCCCTGAGGCAGGACCCCTCAGCGCCTCTGTTTCTTCATCTGAAAGACAGGCGTGTGTGAAGTGGCCCGCGTGGGTTGTTTTCATTGCTGGAACATTGAGTTGGGGGCAGTGAAACGTGAGATTCTGTGGGCTCTTTGAGGACTGGCCCCTCTAACCTCATTGATGGGGAATGAAGAGGCAGGGATATGATCAGAGAACTTTATGGTGTGGCTTTTCTTCAAACATGTGATTTAGCTTAGAAATCCTGCATTTAAATTACAAATCAGTAACAAAATATGTTGGCATTGAAATAACATAAGATTAAAAAAAAAACTTAAATGTGGTCATTGCCTTCACTCAGCAGCTGAAACCAGGATTTGACCTCAAGGCAAAATGATTTCACGATAGACCCCCCAGCAGGGGGGGGGGGAGGCTACCCGGGTAGGCCAGGCCAGAGGGGAGCCATTGGAGGTGGCCCGTGACATTCACCAGAGCTGCTGCCGTTGTGCTTCTGTTTGTACTGGCGGTCAATGGCTTCGTTGGCCTTGGCAGCCTGCGGTCCTGTCAGTCCACTCTCTTCTCTGATGTCCACTTTCCCAGGCGGGAGTCCACTCAGACCACAGGTGTCTTACTACCACCTGCCTGCCCCAGGGACGGCAGGGGGTGTCACTCTCTGTACCCAGCCCAGACCTGGAGAGAAGAGGTACCTGGAAGAGGTACCTCATGTCTCCCCTTGTTGACGCCCACTGTGTGGTACCAGGGATTTCACATGTGTGGGTGGCAATGTGGCCCTGGCAGACTGCTTGGGACATAGAGGACCCCAGTGAAAACTCCTCCAACCCCTGTGGTTGCTGTGAGGTTATTCCAGATTCTTCTATTATTTGAGTTCCACCTGCATCTTCAGCCTTTTCTCTCCTCCCACTCACTGCCCCTGCTGGCTCTGTAGCTCTTTCCAGAAGGGTCCGTGAGCCCCGCCTTCCCAGTGTGCCTGAGGCAGCCCCTGCGGTTTTACTACTTGTTTGTGTCGTGCTGGGCGAGCTCAGTTCTAATTCACAGAGCTGCCTGGGTAGAGAGAGCTGCAGTCCCCTAAGTGTGTCTCCTCAGTTTTCCAATTTCCCAGCTGGGCGGTGTCATCCAGAGAGTGGCATGTGTGCAGGGCTGGGCTCCTCGCCCAGCATTTGTCACTTGCAAGACCCTTTCCTGCCCAGGCCCTCCCGTGCTTCCCCCGGCTGCAGGGCTGAGGGAGTTGCGCCAGCCTTGCGAGAACAGCATGGGATCTTGCAGCAGGCATGAAATGCAGGCCAGATGAGATTCTGCTCGGAGTGCTCGTGAGAGTCTCATGCAACCTGCGTTGGTGTCTGGTTCTGATGTGTTGGGTTTTTGAACATCTGGTTTTGGTTTGAAGGCTTTTTCTGGCTCCCTGCGCAGAGCAGATCTACACAGAGGATGAGCACCTCATGGTGGGAGTGGCACTGCTGCCTTGGAAGTGGCAGGAATGGCTGGCGACAGTTCTAGGTGACTGTCTGGGTCACTGTGCTGCCGGGCCGTGAGGCCACTTTGTGCGCCTGTGCCTGAGGAAGATGGAGTTGGGCCTGGCGTGTGCAGAGGGGTCTCGTCGAGTCTCTGCTTGTGCCCCATATTCCCAATGTCCCAGGTATTGCATTCCTGCTGAGGAGGAGAACAAGCTGGAGGACGTGGTGCACACCCTGCTGCAAGCCAACGGCACCCCAGGGCTGCAGATGCTGGAGAGCAATGTCATGGTAGGTCTGCCACCACCTCCCTGCAGAGCCGCACATTCTCCTGGGGCCTGCCACTGGCCGTCATTTCATAAAATTATCCCCTTTACTGACCTGCCTTTCAAAGGCCAAGAGGACAAAGTGAAATAAATCCTCACAGGGTCCATACTGAAAGGTGCTCTGGCGCAAAAACCAAGCTGAAGAAGAGTTATCTTGTGCAAGACACCACAGCAGGGCCTGTGCTGGCATCATTTTGGGGAGTGCTTAGGGTTTGTCATTTTTTCTTGCAGACCCTGGTGTGTGCCCGAGGGGGGTCCTGGGGTTTGAGGCTGCACTGTGGCTCTCGTGCCCACCCCTCCTGCCTGCTGGGTCATGGTCAGGCTTGTGCACAGAGGCTTCTTCACCCAGTTTCAGGAAGGCCTAGGGCTGGTGAGCTCCTGGGGTTTTTGTTGCCCTGATGGTCTGCCCAGCTGAACCTGGGACTCCTCTCGCCTCTGCTGACCCTGCTTCAGTCTTGTGTCTCTGCTGGACCTACCCATCCAACTCCGAGGAGAGAGGAACAGCACTTCTGGGGGTCTCAACCTGTACTCCACGGCTCCACCTGGCTCTGCAGCCAAGCCCAGCAGCCTCCTGCCGTGTAGACTTGCCCTATTCCCAGCTCCTGGCAGTGCCAGGGAGGGGACAGGAGGAATTCCATGAGGGCTCGTGGGGCTGTGGGCTCACTGTGGCTTTGGCTCTGCACGAATCGGTTGTCACTCTTGGGCCATTTTCAATATAGAACTTTTTTCTTGTTGTGTTAGGAATTACTTCTCTTTATTTTCTAAAGGAGAAACAAAACATTAAGGTCCTAGTGCCCCATGTGCACGAAAGGCATTCCTGCAAACAGGCCTGCTGGGAGAGAGATCACGTCTCAGGCCGGCTGTTAGGAGGTTGGGCAGCGGGAGGTTGCTGGGGAGGGGCCTGCGCCTTAGCTCGGACCTGTCTCTCCCCAGATCTCCCCGGAGGTGCTGTGCAGAGAGGGGATCAAGGTGCACAGGACCGTGCAGCAGAGCGGCCAGTTCGTCGTCTGCTTCCCGGGATCCTTTGTGTCCAAAGTGTGTTGTGGCTACAGCGTCTCTGAAACTGTGCACTTTGCTACCACCCAGTGGACAAGTATGGGCTTTGAGACTGCCAAGGTAAGCGGGGCCAGCCTGCTCCCACTGCCCCCATGGCTATGTGTGCCTGTTGCACGTGAGCGCACGCAGGCACATCTCTGCATGTGCCGGACTAATGGTAGATAGATTTCATTTTGGAATATGTCTTTGTAACCTTTAAGAGGTTGGCTGAAAGGTTTTTCTAGGAAAGAAAAGTTATGAATTTGTTTGTATCATGAAAGAGTTTGAGGTCTGTTACTGACTGACTCCCTGCACCAAGGTGCTTAAGATAAATGCTTAAAATACATAGATAGGGTACCTCCACTCATTCTGAAGTGTGTCACCTGCCTTGTGGCTAGCATGAGCTGCTATGGTTTTCCTAGTATCTGGTGCTTTTGTCACAGGAAAGCAAATCCTTGTACAACTTACTAATGAAAATTGACCCTAAAGGGATGTGCCTCCTCTTGCAGGAGATGAAGCGTCGCCATATAGCTAAGCCATTCTCCATGGAGAAGTTACTCTACCAGATTGCACAAGCAGAAGCAAAAAAGGAAAATGGGCCCACTCTCAGTACCATCTCAGCCCTTCTGGATGAGCTCAGGTAACACAGACTCCGGGTCCCGGAGACCCCAGGGCCCAGGCCCAGAGAGCACAGCTCGAGTGAGCACACAGAGCTCCCTTCCTGCAGCAGCTGAGCCTGCTCAGAACGGCAGGGCCACTGGGTGCTTTTCCAGTTGGGTGTGGTTTGTTCTGTTGTTGTTTCTATTTCCACTTTCTCTCTATGCTTGATGTTTGGAGTCAGAGTTTCCTGATATGCAGATGCAAGATGTGTGATGTCAAGAGGTTAACTCTCCTTGTGGGAATGAGCAGAAGGCGGCTCTCAACCCCCTGGCACCACTGTCCTGGTAGTCCTTTATCAGTGAGGCTGCCTTGTGGCAGGAAGTCGTGACCTGCAGCATCAGGACCAGGCCCTGCACCCTGCAGGTTGACAGGGTGTGGAGAGTGACCCTCAGTTTTCAGGTTTTCTTGTCAACCGCTCATGGGGTGTGTACGCGATGCTGCTGGCAGCTTGTCAGCAACAGCACCTGACACCACAGTGTGGCCAGCCGGTTGTCTCACCTCCCTAGTCCTCACCCCATTTTCATCTGCAGTGACTGAAGGAGCTGTCCTTATATTTGAAGTGGATCAGGGCAGAAGCTGAAGCGAGTGCGACTGTCCTGCCTGGCTTCCTGTGTAGTTTCCTGATGTCTCCCCTGCCCGGGGAGAGGCTCTGAGTAGTGCTGATGGACAGCACATGGTTTTCAACTCGTGGTGGTCGAACCTTTGCTGATGATACCGACAAATAAGTTTGTTTAAAGCTGTCCATGGCTTGGAACAGGGAGGCACCCCTTCCTAGCTATACCGTGCTGCTGGCATGTGGCACGATGTGTGTGCGCCCTTTGTTAATAAGGAAGTGAGGTCTCGTCATCTTAGTAGCCTGGGAACCAGGCAGGTTATCTGCCCCTTTAACTGAGGAACCCGGGTCCTAGCTGGGGGCTTGAGAAGGTGAGCTGGGCCCCCGAGGTGCCCAGTGGGAGGCATTTGTGGGTCACATCATGTCCTGTCTGATGGTGAGGAGGGCCTGCCCTGTTTGCTGTGGTGCTGGCAGGCATAGCCCCTGATGGCCGCATCCCCGTTGTGTTTGGGCAGGGACACGGAGCTGCGGCAGCGCAGGCAGCTGTTCGAGGCTGGCCTCCACTCCTCGGCACGCTATGGCAGCCACGACAGCAGCAGCGCCATGCCGGATGCGAAGAAAAAGCCTCGAAAGTGGCTGCAGCTGGAGACCTCAGAGAGGAGGTGTCAGATCTGCCAGCACCTGTGCTACCTGTCCATGGTGAGCCCTGCCCTGGGGTCCTGCCACCACTCTAAAGTCAGGCGCCGGGCCCAGGAGCCCATAGCGTGCCTGGAAGGGGGTGGGCTGTCCGCCTGGGAAGCCTTTCAGACCCTGTTCAGAACCTGCTGCGGGACCTCTGCACAGCTTCTGGATGCAGAGTCAGGCGCCCAGGTCGCACACACACAGACTGTCCCTGTCCTGTTCTGCCCACAACTGGCACGTGCCCCTTCATTCCAATATCGAGGGGTTTGGAGAGTTGGTATCTTCTGAGGTCTGTGTCTTTGGCTTGTGGATGGCTGTCATCTGTGTGTGTCCCCATAGCCCCTGCTCACAAAGACACCAGTCAGAGGATTGGGGCCCACCCTAGAGGCTCACCTTAACTGTTCCCTCTTCAAAGACCCTGCCTCTAAGTACAGTCACACTCTGAGATTCTAGGGGCTAGGGCTTCAGCATGTGAATTTTGGGGGACAAATTCAGTCTGTAACAACTGTGTGTCTCATTTTGTATAGTTACTTCTATCCAGGTTTCCTTTTTCAGGGACTACTCAAAAGATATAATCCAGATCCATACTGTCTTTGAGAGAAAAACGGTCTTAAGTGTTTCCCAAATCTTAAAATATTTTGTAAACATCACTCATAAAAGCTGCATAGTTCTGTACCCGTTCCTCTCTTTTGGAATGTTCTGTTTGTTTCCCATGGGAATGAATGATTCTGTGATGACATGTTTGTGGGGCACTGGTGCGTTCCTGTGGGGGTCTTAGGACAACACCAGCTGGGCTCAAGCTGTCCTTCAGAAAGTTGTCACCAGGCATTTCTTATTAGCCTGAATGTTGTGTAAAGAAAGAAGATACTGAAGAAACTATAAACTTATAGGTGAAAATTGGGGTTTTACTTACATTTACAGTTTGCGTTGCTTGGGTTACTAATAAGTTTGTGCACTTCTGTGTACTGTATTTCATGGTTCTGTCTATTCCTGTCCTCAGCCTCAAGGGTCTTTAGAAGGCAGTGTGTTTCTGCCAGTATGTGTCATTTCCTTATTTTACAGCTTGTTCTCTCTTCTTTGCGTAGAAACACTGCAGACAGAAGCCCCAGGTCTTCCCTCTTTTATCTTGTGTGTTCAGACAGCATTCTTCCTTTTTAACTTTTTCATACAATAGAGCAGGGCTGGAAGTCAGGGCAAGGGATGGGAATCCTTCCACACAAACCAGGCACCTCTTTTCCTTTCTCCCAGCCCCTTTCAGCCCCAGACGCGTTCACACTAAGTGTCCCTGTCCGTGTGGTCTTAGGTGGCAGGACGTGTGCTTAGCCAGCAGCTGGAGGCTTTGTGGCAGCTGCCCAGGGACAGGGACGTGGGGGCTGGTGGGAGGGCCTGCCTGGGTTGTGGAGGACCAGGAGTCTGTGATGGTTGGATGGAGGCTGTTGGATCCCTGTGGCATGTAGGGGATGGCTTTTATGTCACCAGCTGGGACTGACTGAGTTGCTCTGTGTGATGGTGAGACTAGTGTTGCTGCTGGAATATCTGGGGCATGTGCTCCGTGTGGCTGCTCCAACTTGTAGTCCTTCTCCATGTTCCAGATCCACTCTGGCACCTCTCTTGTGCCGGGGTAAAATCTCAGGAACCCTCAGAACTTGAGAGCGAGTATCACTGATGTATCACCTCTTCACCGGCCCGGTGGCAATTAGAATCTTTCCTGGGAAATGGCAGCAGAAATCTGTAGGGGACTCCAGGACTTCATCTCCCAACTTGGAGATGGTCAGTTAGTCACTTTCCTAGGTGAAGACACTATTCCAGGTTGTCTATCTGTTTCAGGATCTTAGTCCATTCCTAGTGTTTGAGAGTCCTGGAGCCCCTGCTCCCTCTTGGGCACCTCCACGACACTCGCAGGCTGGAGTCTCCTCTGAACCTCGGATGTGCTGCTCTTTCTTGCAGGTGGTTCAGGAGAATGAAAACGTCGTGTTCTGCCTGGAGTGTGCCCTGCGCCACGTGGAGAAACAGAAGTCCTGCCGAGGGCTGAAGCTCATGTACCGCTATGACGAGGTCAGTGCCACTAGAGGGCCTGGCACATGGACGGGCGAGCGCAGGGCCAGGCCTGGCAGTTCTGTGCAAGGGGCAGTGCCATTTGCCCTTGCGTTCTGTTGGGACAATCACACCTCTGTCATATCTATTCAAGCACGCCTTGCAGAGCCTAAGGCTGAGCACAGCTGACATAGTTCTAGGTGTGGTTTCCCAGACCTGCCTGATGGGAATGTGGCTTCCCAATCTGTCCTGAGATACCCAGGAACTGAAACTAGAAATTTTTTTACCTTTAGAAACTTTGTTTCATTCAATTTTTCTTCTTTATGTTTACACAACCTTCTACTAGATGCCCTTCTTTTGCTCAATTAGCAGGATTGCTTCCTGAGCATGGGGTGGCCCTCTGTGGCCGCAGTCTTACATAGGGGCGTGGGCACGACGTGTTCCCCAGGAAGAGCCACAGTGAAGCTGTGGAGTGGGAGCTAGTAAAGAGGTGGGGAGACTCTACCCCTATCATGGCTGGCCTTTGGGAAGCCAACCTCTGACGTTGGACAATCATTGGCTGTGGCTTGGCTGAAGTTCCAGGCCTTCCAAGGGCTGGCTGTGCCATTGTCGTCACCACCAACAGCCCCATCTCCCAGTCCTGGGAAGTGAGTCTTGGGCCCTCCTCCTGTACCAGGCTCCCCGTGTGGGGATGGGGCTCATGGTCTGTAGCCACCGTGCATGTGGATTTCAGAAACAGGCTCTTGCAGAGGCTGAGACCCCTTCTGGTGATCGCCCTGGCTGTGCTACTGACGTTTGGAATCGGACCCTCCTTTGTAGTGGGCTGTTCCATGCACAGTAGGATGTTTGGAGCACCCCCAACCTCTACCCACTAGATGCCCACAGAATCCCTGCAGACATTGCTGCTGTCCCCAGGGGCTTCAGCTTGTGGCAATCCCTGTCTATGCCTTACTCCAGGTTATCAGCCTTCTTCTGCACAGGACCTAAGGCTCTGCCTGTTCCTCATGGTCTGTATGGCATCTGTTGGCATCTCTGGCCGCCAGGGTCTCAGTTTACAAGGGACTGTGGGGGAGGGACTGTGCTGTCTCTTATGGCAGGCCCGGGCCCAGCCTGTGAAGGACCGGGGCTACCTGTGCATATTCATCATAAGAGGTGCAGGTGCCCAGTGCAGGCACTGTCGGCAGGGGATATCGGGTGGCCACACCCCCCACGCTGTCTGGCCAGGGCTGATGCTGAGTAGCTGTAGCTGCCTTGGGGCCTCAAAGCCTGATTCTAGGTCCCAGGGACACTGGCACAGGGACCTTCTTGGCTACAGTTCCGTGCAGTGCCTGAGACATACAGAAACACAGCACTATAGGTTCCACCTATGTTGGTGTTGTGACACATGTGCAGGGCTGGGAAGGGGGTGCTTGCCCTGAGGCTGTGGTGTGGCTGACCTGGCCCCTAGTGAGGAGTGAGCCTTTTACATGTACCTCAGAATCCTGCTGTACACCTGGCTGTGAGGCCATGGGCCTGTTTCCACATTAGTGTCACACTGTGCGCCAGGGTGGGTGACTTGTCCTGGTGCTCACATGGAGTGGGCACCTTTTTTCTCCTGTCATGGAAACGCCCCCTTTCTCAATGCTAGTTCAGCATCTTTGGTCTTTAGAGTTTAGGTCCTGTGCGAGGTTCTCAAGCACGTGCACGTTGCACACGTGGACACAAACACACTCCTTCTGCAGGGCCTTGCATGCATCTGAGACCGGGCTCTGTCTTTGTCCTGGGGACCTTGGCTAAAACAGGGAGACTTTCTCTTTCTTCCACATTCTGCATCCAGTTCTGCAGGTCGTGTTTGTTCCACCTTCCGGACAAATCCCAGATCCATCCAGCTCTGCCCGCTTGTACTGCTCCCACCACTAAGTGTTCTAAGTGGCCTTTACTTCCATTCCTTTCCCTTCAACAGCATGTCAGTCTTCACTGAAAACCCCGAGTAGGCTTTAGAGGCAGACTCTATCTGAAGCCCTGTCTGTGCCAGCTGGGTGGTCTCTGCAGTCTGTTCGATTCCCGCATGGGCTGAGAATGCTGCGTTCCCTGGCAGGACTGCAGGAGCCTCTGCACCTGAGGCTCTCCCATTCTGCAGCCATGAACCGAGGCTTCGTGTGTCCCATCCGGTCAGCTCCTACCTGCATGTTGACATCAGTGCTTTTCCAAGCTGCCACATAGTTGTGCTTTTAGATAGAAATTGGCAACTTCCTGCAATACTCAGCCCTGCCTCTCAGGGGACACACTGCCCTCTCACGTGTGGCAGCCTAGTACCTTCCCCCAGGGACTGCCATCTTCTGGAGAGTGATCACAGTCACTGTTTCCCTTCAAGTTGTGCAGTCTACAACCTGTGCAGCTGTAGGGCCCTGCCCTGAAGGCCAAACCTAGTGGCGGCGGAGCCCCTCTCTTTCCTCCCACTCCTGGATGTGCTTCTCATGAATTCCGTACGGCTGGTCGTGACTCAGGTGGGGCTGGTGTATCTGGGGGCTCAGGTAGTGAGTCCAAGTGGTTGGTCATGCCTGATAAGCCTTTGGCTAAATTCTAAAGTTGGAAAGCTGGAAATAGATCTATTTGCATCTTTTTTGTTTTTAAAGAGAGTGTTCAGTGAAGGCAATAACCACTTTGCCGTCTCCAAATATCAGGACACGATTAAAAATAAACCCTTAGCACTTGAGTCAGAACCTCTCTCTGGCAACTTGCAGAGTGCGGTGGCACTAGGCGGCTTCATCAAGATGATTTCAAGCTCTCCACAAAATACGGGTTATAGTTTTCACCACCAGTGCATTTTGTAGCTAGGTGTTTTGGTTTGACCAAAAATCCTAGAAAACAAGTAACATACGCAGGGTCTGTCAGTCTGATGCTTAACCATTGGTTTTAAAGTGTAAGGAAGAGAAAAAGATATTTATCGTACTTAGTAAATTAAAATCCTTTTTTTTTTTAATTGGTAAATTTCTAGCTTATAAGACCACCACAGGCTCTTGCTGTAAACCCCAGTGTGCCCAGCAGACAAATCGCCTGTGTCCTGGCCTGCCAACTCAGGATCATCTGCCACATTGTGTGCTGGTCATGCCACTGGTGGTCTCAGCTCTAGTGCGCTTTAAACACCCACATGGGGCCTGGCTCTCGCAACTTTGGGGTATTCCCCAGGGATGGGTGGTGCCTGGCCCTTTCAGGCTGGCTGAGGAGATTCAGTTTCGGTGGGAGGGAGCTGGGCCAGGACAGGCTGCTGTCCCCCCAGCTAGCAGGACACAAGTGAGAGAAGTGAGAAGTGTCTTCCTCTGACCACACAACACTTGCCCTTTCTTGCCCTGCCCACCCTTGTGTTGTGGAGGAGCCTTTAACCCTGTGTGGCTGGGTTTTAAAGCCAGTAATCCTTTATTATTAGCATGTTTATCTTAAGTGCTTTATGCGGCCACAGCAACTGTGTATTTACAGACACGTGGCCCTGCCCTTCCGAGGGTATCCCTAACTTCTCGGTGTAGCCGTCACTTCAGGAGCTGACCCTCGGCAGCTACCTCCTTCCTGTCCGGGTCTGTGTGGCGCCCGGGCAGCTGTCCCAGAGAGGCATCTCTGTCCACTGCTCTCTTACGATGCGATGCTATGGGATGAATTGTGTTAAAAGTTACAAATAGATTTTTGGTACAACAAATAACGGCCCTCTTGGGTCAATGAAAAGTATGCTGCTGTGTCTGCTGGGTCTTCACTGGAGAGGAGGAGGGAGTAGTGGAAATAGTTATGGATAGACAGGTGTTGGCACTTTGCACAAGACCAGGTTAGTGGCTCCCAATGTCAGGGTGGCCAAAGTGCATCCGGCACTTTGCACAAGACCAGGTTAGTGGCTCCCAATGTCAGGGTGGCCAAAGTGCATCCAGCAGTTTTGGGCACTTATTTCTGTCACGATCCAGGGAGCGATGCTGGAGAACTTGAGCCACGGAGCCCACAAGTCTTTTCCTGCAGGCCTCCTATGGGGGCAGTGGCCTGGGCTCACCCTGCCCTTACTAGCTGGTTAACCTCCAAGTTGAGGGTAATGCAACTCATGGTGGTCCTTGGGTGGTTGGGAGGATAAAATGGTCGTGCATGCTGTGTGGCATTAGGAAGGGGCCAGGGAGGTGACAGGCTGTCCCTGTTAGCTGCATTTGTCTCAGCTTTGGCTGCTTGGTGAAGGGATGTGTATGCCTCAGATAAATGCACAACTGAGATCTGAATGCACTTCTTAGGAAGGAAATCATTACACACTTACTTGCATGCATTACGGGATTCAGTGTTCATGTTCTTAGCAGAACAAATTGATTTTAGCATATTAATTTGTGTAGCCCTCCCAGCCACCAGGGAGGCGCCCGAACCCCTCCCCATTTGTTAGGTGAGGAAGTGGAGGTTGGGAAGTTGCTGCCAGCAGGCACCTTGCTGGCTGTCATGTGAGAGAGCTGTTCCTCCCTGATAAGGACAGCACTTTAGGTGCCCATTTAGGGGTCCTCCTTCTCATGAAGTGTTGTTGTTCTCAAGGCTTTTGCAGCTCAGAATCTCTTGAGGATGTTTTAAAAGCCTGTCACAGCGGTCCTGCAGCACATCGGGGGAAACTTTGATCTGGATGGGGTTTGGTGGAGGCGAGTAGCTGCCCAGCCACACTGCTGAGCTCTGCTCTCAGCCGTGGCGGGGGTGGGGCGCTGTCTGGACATGCCCCTCTTTCTTGTGCTATTAATTTTGTCTTCCTTTCATCCCCAAACAGGAACAAATTATCAGTCTGGTCAATCAGATCTGTGGCAAAGTAGCTGGTAAAAACGGCAGCATTGAGAACTGTCTCAGTAAACCTACACCAAAAAGAGGCCCCCGCAAGAGAGCGACGGTGGACGTGCCGCCCTCCCGGCTATCATCCTCCAGTTCATCCAAAAGTGCTTCGAGCTCATCATGAAGATGCCAACACCCATGGTCGATTTATATATATTTTTTTGTAATTATATTCTAGTTTGGAGTACATGCTGTAGGATACAAGCTGTCTTTGCACTAGCTCTAAAGAAGATTTTCTTCTGGTTTTAGAGAACTAATTTTGTTTTAGCATTAAACTGTTGAACTTTTTTTTGTACTTAGAATACCTAGATACTGCAGTCAGATTTTTGAAACTGCCGTATATTCACTGTTTTAAAAACCCTTGAGGGGCGTATTAATTTGTATTGCCCCCATGGCTGACGAAAGCCTTTTTGTTTTGTTTTTTGTTTTTGTAACTGTTGGGGAAAAAAGGCTTTTTAACCCATTTTTGAAGAGGGTGAAGTTTGGAGAACAAATTTTAAAACCATCAGTCATGTGAGCAGATTTTTCTAGATCGGAAAAGGGATAGGAGACACAGAAAAAAACTTGAAAAGAAATGGCTTTACTTTGGCTGTCTTTTCTTCTGTCATGTGCAAGATGAGTTTGTAATTTTAAAACCGGAGAGCCCCCGTTTTGTTTCTTTGGGCGGTTATGGCAGCTGAAGGTGGACGGTGTTTCCTGACCACAGGCAACATGCGGAGGTTGGAGTGACTAGGTTCTCTCTACCAGCACATCACTATGCACCTGTCGAAGGGGAAGGAAGAGCGAGAGGAAGGAGGAAAGACTGCCTGCCTTGGAGGGGTCACGTGGGGAGACCTGTGCCTGATTTCATTAGGAAATCATTCTGTTATTTTTTGGTGCTGTTGGCTACTTTATCAAAAAAACCCTTCAATAGCATCCTTAAGGAAAAAAAAAAAAAAAAAGGAAAAAAGGGATTGATTGAAGCCACAAAGGCTTCTTGGTCATCGACGTGCAATCTTTCTACATTCCGTCTTCATCTCACTGCTTCTGTCTCACACCTTCACACGTCAGCATTAATCGTTCTGTGCGTCTGTTTCGTTACGATCACATTCAGAGCCACTAGGAGGTCTGCAGTTCTTTTTGAATGTGAAGATGCATTTGCGCTCATCTTGTCTATTTTTTCTCTTCATGTTGTAACAAAAAGAAAAAAAAGAAAAAAAAGAATCCCATCCCTTTTGTACATACGCCTGTAAATTGTTTTAAATACTTGAGCCTTTTTCTCGGTGGGGGGTGGGGAGGGGTGAGGAGACAAGATGAAGAAAAGCCTTACATTTCAGTTTCTTCATCGGTTGGATTGGATGCTTACAGGGTTTTTCTTGTAACATTTATAAGTGCTGCTTACATCACTGAACAACAACAACAAAATAATAATGGAGTAGCTGTTGCCCTTCTCCGGTTGTGTGTACAGTATGTGTGGAATAAAAAAGGGAAACTGTTTTCACAAGCTGTTCTTTGTTTCATAATTGGACTCACCAATCCCGTAGCTACCCATATTGCACTGAGCTTGCCAGTGGTGACTGCCAGGAACGTCCTATGATCCACTTTGTTGGTTGTTGTTGCAGAAGACTGAACTGTTTTGGAATATTTAACAATTACATAAACAGAGTCAAGTGTTTTTTCCAATGTGGTTGTCTGGTTTTTATGGCCTTGCTGTGTACTTTTCCCTCTTTTTGACAGTAAACTTCTGCCTATGGCTTACAGTTTGACATTTAATTTATTAGCGCTGCTCTGCACCCCTCCCTGGGGAGGGACGACTTCATGTGGTTTATTGCCAGTTTTTTGTTTACTTTTCAGGTTTGTACTACAAGGTTTAATAATAAAAACAAAGTTTTTTGGACGCTTGTCTGTCTTGTGGAAGATGAGTGCATGGAATGAGCTCTTTCTATTCTGATCAGTGGGCAGAGGCTACAACCCACTCCCCTCGGCCAGGGAGTGGCACTTACAACACCTTTGGTTCTTGCGTGCTCACGTTTCCGTCTGCTGGTGGCCCTGTGGCCGTCCCTCCACTCCCCCTCATTCTTAGTCGGGAATCTGTCATTTCTCACTAGGTGTGGGGCTGTGAGGAGTGGGAGAGGGGACACATTTCCATGTGACCAGTTTCTTTTCAGGAGAAAGAATGGAGTAGTGCTTTTGGCTTATGCTTATTTCTGTTCCTCTGGGCCCAGATGTGTGTTCTAGTATAGGCGGTTGGACTAACGAAAATTTGTAATGATCACATGAAAACCCAAGCTTTGTCAGCTGAGTTTGACTACAGTTAGTTCTACTTTAAAGGCAGTACACTTTTCTGCCTGTGAAAGGACATTCACCATTGTGTGCAGAACTGAGCTGTTGTGGAACCATCGCCCAGCCCAGGCCCTGCCCTCCACAGCCACCTCAGGTGGCCCTCGGTGACCTGGGCATCCCTGAGCTGTGCTCTAAGGAACCATTAGTTACATCGGCCTTAATTAAGGGGGCGTGTATTTAGAAGTCTTTCTGTACAAACTAGCTATGTACTCTCTCTGTTTAAAGTCCTCAAACTTTATTGTTAGCGTTCCTTTCAGTTTCTCACACATTATTGGTGATTATGTAAAAATCAAAACCCCCCATCAAACAACCTGATTTCAAAGGTGGAATTCTGTGCACTCACTTGAATGTGGTCAGAGGACACAAACATCCTGATTTAAGAGTCGCTGTCATCACTAACATCCAGAGTGGCCTTTCTGTCAGGGTGTAAAGTGGCTAGGGCAGTGTCCACCTGAACTTCCTCCTCGTCAGACTGAACAAGGGGGGACTCCCCCGCTTCACTGCAGTCCTGGGCCGCGGAGTTGGTGGAGGATGAGGATGAGCATGAGGAAGGCTTGGCGAGTAGTTCTGATGGAAGTGGAACCTGAAGAGCAATTTCACCCTGACAAGTATTGGGTTCAGGCCCTGCAACATAAAGTAGGAAAAAACTATTACAATTTAGAATTGCCACTGAGGACAGCTGTTTGAACCTGCCCAGAATAAAAGAGGGGGTGCATGTTTTTGTTCCAGTGACCTGGGGTCGGCAGAGCTCAGCTGCTCATCATGGTGCAGGACCTGTCCCTGCAGGAAGCTGTGCCAAGTGACGCCAGAGGCAGCCAGGAGCCCTGAGCTGCCAGCCCCCTGTGACAAAAAGGCCCAGAACCCTTTAAAACTACATAATATCCAGTAAGATAGTGTGCTTAAAGGCCCAAGGGCAAATGCTTCATGTCTTTGGGGAGCAGTTTGCATAACCTTGAAAATCTAGATTTACTCCTTTATATCCTTTTAAGTAACTGAGACACCGATGCTAAGAGAAAGTC